ATTCCTCATTCGGCATTATGCAACCATAGAAGTCAACACATTTTCGTTAAGTAAACCGGAAGTATGTATAATTTGTTCATGTACATTATATACATAGAGATTACATAAAATGTATTTACCGATGTTTGTTCTCTTCCTATTTTACTTTTCATTGTCTCTTCATCTCCATCTTTTTCCTTTTGTTTCTCTTCCTTAAGTTCTCCTTATTCAGTTTTTTCTTCTCGTTGTCTTCTTTTTTCTTTTCTGACATAAACTTCTTTTTCATATCTAATTTATTCACATGTTCTGCGACTTAGCCTCGTTATATAATTTTTCCCCATTATTACCATGATCTCTTTCCCCTCCTCCTCATTCATCGTGTTCTTTCTTTTGTCATTTCTAGTGTTTCCGCATTCTCCTGTTTCATATTTTTATCATTATCAGCTACTACTTCTATTCTGGTTTTCTTCTTTCCTTCCTATATTCTCCATCGTTGTCCATCATCATATGGTCGTCATCTTTTTCTCACACCTGTACGTATGCACTCTATTCAGATTCCTGGGGTGTTGCCGTGTGACGAGAAATACATAATTTTCGGATTCTAAAATGTACTTACAGAATCTGAAAGGGCATTAAGTAAACACACGCGCTGCATATGAAACAGTTTTAACAGACGTGTGAGACCGAACGCGCTGTTCTGTATCACGTAAGGTTAACTGGAAATGCATGTCCTCCATACATTGTCGAAGTCAGTGAATAGCTGGATGAGTGCTTTGGGGTTGCTCTGAGTTCGTTAATTTCCCAGCTAGAGTGTTAACAAGAGGCCATGTCAAGCCAACCCGTTCGTCTTACGTAATTTATCATTCACTGGAGTGAAAGAAGGGTGGTCTACTCTAGAGGAGACTAAAGCACTTTGCCCTGATGTACCAGGATCGACGTCACAAACACAGTATTTGAAAGGGGTGAGGAACAGACTGCGGGAAAAAAGCAATTGTGGGTGGGGTGGATTTAGTTCGGCTGATCAATTAAGATTTCAGTATACACATTTCAAATATAAAGGTTTACAAATTCCTGTATATTAATTTTCTCCTATAATCCATTTTGTTTATAGTGATATTGCCAAGCACATGAGTGTAATGGTAATAGTTAATATCCGTTTCGAACCAAGATCTTTTAACATTACTAACATTGGTCCTCCTTTAAGGTCACCCCATTCTGATCCAAGTTAAGAAAACATGTCTTCTTAACATTCGTTTTTAGACTATTCCCCATTATATGTAACATAACTTTAATTCACTTTCTTTCTGATACACAGTTTACTTGTTCTTCCACCGTTCGTTAAATTACTCTCTAGTTACTCAGATGGTAGAAGAAGCAGCGT